GGGGGGGGGGGGGGTACCCTATTTTGGGGGTTCTTATAATAAGGATCCTACTATTTAGGGTACCATATTAGGGTCCCCTATTTTCGGAAACACCAAAAAGACCATCCTGCGGTTCACCCTCTTTCAATCTGCACGTCCCCCACCAACCATATTGTAGAAATGCAAGCTGTCTCTGGCTACTCCCTCTCCTGCTGCTCTAGTGCTAGGATTTCGGGCCACACCCCTGTAACTAGTACTATAGCAACAAAAAAAGGATCATGGGACCATTCACCACGAAATTAAATTCAAACACGGCAAACGCCAGCAGGCTGTGTTCCGCAATCTTGCCGAGCGATGCGCGGAACCGCGTCTGATGCCACAATCTTGCCGAGCCATGCACGGAACCGCGTCTCATGCCACAGCATCGTCCGCAGCATCCAGACAGTCGGGCCAACGTTCACCCAGTGTAAGCAGCTCGTACTTCCCGATTTCGTGCATGGTACCCATCAGCGACTGCTCTCGCAGGTACCGTTGCTTCAGCTCGGGGTGGTAGTGAAGGGCCTTAAGACGATGCACAAGTCCGAAAACAAATCGCAAGCACCATCGAAAAGAAGAGGGCTTGCCAACAACAAGAACTGTTGTCATCGGTATTGCATCATTACTATGATTTGTATTAGTAGTATTGCTGCTACCATTATCTTTGTCATTATATTACCATCATCATTATCATTAACCATTAGTATTACTAGTCATTCCTCGTTATTTGCTAGTCTTATTATTACTGTTGCTGTTCTTCCCCCTCGAGGCTCTTCCAAGAACATCTCCTCCCGCAGTGCCGGCAAGTCGATCTTTCGTATCAGGAACTCGAAGTCCTGGGTTGCTGTTAAGGGGATTTAGGCTTTAGGCCCTATAAGCCCTAAACCATAAGCCCTAAACCCAAAGCCCTAAAACCCTTTAGGCCCTAAACCCTAAACCCTGACCCCTAATGCCTAAGCCCCAGCCGCTGAACCCTTTAGGCCCTAAACCCTACACCCCACCGGGTCTAGGTTCGCTGTTAAAGGAGCGTAAATCAGAAAACTCCAATTTTAACTACATATCCCCATTCTGACTTAAGCCTTCATTCCCAGTATGTAGCTTAAACCTTAAAGCCTCAACACTTAACGCAAAACCCTATCTACTTACCATACATCCCCATTAAACTCCTTCAACCCTACACCCTACATCCTAAACCCTAGTCCCTAAGCCCTAAGTTCTAAACCCTGTAATCTGTAAGTTCCCTAAACCTTAAACCCTAAAACCCTAAACCCTAAACCTCCTTAACAGCAGCCCGGAGTCACGCAACTCGAGAGGTGCGCATACAGGTTCATCCTCAGGGGCGACTCCAAGACGGCAGTTGCAGGGCGTAGGATGTGGGGTGTAGGGTGTAGGGCGTTTAGGGTTTAGGGTTTGGGGGTTTAGGGTTTAGGGTTTTGGCGTTAAGATTTAGGATGTAGGGCTGTAGGGTTCTATTTTCCCAGATAACCTGAATCACACACCCCTCCGGCTGAAACAAGCGCATGCAGTTTTAGTCTTCTCCGAGCTGGCCATGTCCTCCGGACAGCGCAGATCCGTGCCCGCAAACTCCCCGAAGTAGCTCCTCCATCATTCAGTTAGCAGCATGACCACTGAACATCAACTTTCGGCCTGCTGACCTAGGGGCCTAGTGAAATTTTGTGCCTTAAACCTTAAACCCTAGGTCTCCAGCTACCTAAACAATAAGCTACTGGGATACATATTATATGGTTGGTAAGCTACCAAGTCGGGTAACTAGAGCCGTACGGAGACTTCACCCTAAACCCGAAGCCCTAAACCCCAAACCCTAAACCCTAAACTACAAACTCTAAACCCTAATCCCGAAACACTAACCTACAAACCCTAAACCCTCATCCCGAAACAGTAAACCCCAATTTGCAAGGTCTCCAGTTCAAGGCTTGCTCGGCGGAGATCCGCTGCTGAGGATCAAACTGCAGCAGAGCATCCAAAAGCTCCATCCTACGGTTGCATTACCCATAGGCCCCTAAGTAGTTCCTTTTGGGGATTACCTTATAGGATTCTACATATGAACCCTAAAACCCCATAATACAATTCCCATAGTTTAGGGGTCCTTCAGGTAATGCAGGATTTATATCATCAACAGTAGTTCATGGTTGGGTTTCGGCGCTCTCGCAACTCGGACTCCGCCAGACAAGGCTGGGTGTAGGGCTTAGGGCTGGGATAGCAATAAAGTTCTAAATTTCGATTCCTCGTTGAGTTTTAAGTACCCATAAAAGTGTAAAATGCTACCCAACTGTGACAGAGCATCGCCGAAGGCGAGATGGGACCCAAGGCGTCGCAGAAGGCCTTGCGGTCCACCGATGGGGTTAGTGAGTCGACAAACCTGGGATGTACTTTCCGGGCTCCCAAAAGTATTTACGAAAAGGTACCTCTATCTATAGAACCATAAGGGGAACTGACAAGTATCCCAAAGCTCCACCTAGAAACTTCCGAATCTCTGGTTTCTTGATCCAGCTGAGAGATGACTCCTCCTTCCTAGGGCCCAAGCCCTCCAGAATCAGCTTCAGTTGGTGCTGCACGTTCTTTCCTGGAAAAACGGGCCGACGTGCGAACATCTCGCCAAGAATCGCTCCGACACCCCAGATATCGATGGCAGGCCCATATACACTTCCGGTACAATCACAAAGGGCCTTTTATCTTCAGGGTGCGTGGGGGATGTGAGGGTTTGGTTTAGGGCTTATGGAGCTCAGGGGGCTTTGGGCCTAGAGGGTCTAGGGCTGTGTAGGGTTCAATACTGAGCACACTGCCAAAGAGCCTCTGGTGCTCGGTACCACACCTTGTTGACATAAGGATTTGCGTCGCGGGGCGGGAAGCCTTCGCCCGTCTCCCCAAGATCCAGTGCGGCCATGGAAAGGCCTGAGATTTTCAAGTCGCAGTTGCGGTTCACCAGCAGCAGTCGCGGCTTCAAGTCTTGATGAAGCACACCTGCAGAGTGCATGAACTTCAGCCCCCGAAGAATTTGGTAGGAAAAGAACTGGCAATGCTGGTCAAGGAGACTCTGGGAGCTCTTGAGGATTGCTTGCAAGTCTGTCTCCATAAGCTCAGAGACGGAGTAGAGGTCGTGAAATTCCATCTTGGAACCCGGAAAGAAAACGTATCTCACATCAAGGATGTTCTCGTGACGGAAGTGCCGCAAGAGCCTTAACTCTTTGAGTTCCTGCCGAGCGTGGGATAGAGGCTCAAAATCTAAAGCCCCCCTGTTCGACTCGAAAGCTCGCGTCTTCTTGATGGCAACCATGTCATCCGTGATCTCATCGCGAGCCGAGCACATCAGGCCGTACGCACCTGCTGCTGCTGAAGCATGTCTGCGTAGCGCTATCTACTTGCTATACCTTTCTCCCAAACTCGGATCAACCACCTTCTGCTTGAGAAACACTGACAGTCCCCTCCTATTCCCTCCTTGCGCCACCAAGTCCAGAATCGCGAACCGTTCGGGGGCTTGTATGGAGGCTCCTCTGCGATGGCTGAGCTGACAGTCAAGCTGCAAGGAATCTAAGAGGTCGACCTGCCGCTGCTGCAGGAGGACCACATCTCCATCCTCCGAAGCTTTGAACAAAAGGGCACCCAGTGTTCCAAGGCTTTCAATGCCTTCTCAGTATGGCTAGTGAGCTGTATATAACCAAGGTACCGAGAAACAAAAGTAGATGTACCTACTTTCCAGGGAAATATCCCCTTTTGAAACGTACATCGGTTACTCTAGGTAAGTCTGACACCCTTTAAACCCGGTTGAGGCCCCGAACACTCCGTCTTGCGTCGAAAGCCAGACTAGAAAGGCCCTTATTGTATCACAGTAGGGTGTTGGGGTGTAGTGTAGAAACAGATAAGGGGCTGCCACCACCGATCCCAAGCCTTTGTTACAGGAGTGAGTGCCAGATTTCACCTCAGGCCTGCGAAACCGCAGGTCAACTAAACCGACAAACCCCAAAAGTTCAAGCAGCTAAACAACACCGCTCTCGACGTCCGCAAAAAGCAACACCTCCCCAAAACAAGACCCTAGACCCTAAGTCTTTCGGGCCCAGATCTGCCACCTTCAAGCCGGCATCCTCAAGGGTCCCCTGGCACAGCATCTCGCCCGAAGTTGTCAGCAGCACACCAGCGCACATCTCCAAAGAGTCCAGGGCCTGTTGCGACCCCGTCTGCATCCTTAAAGCGTTGCTCTGCGTGCTCCTATAAGGTTGTTCCGATAGGGGTTCTACTTACCCTTTCAGTTTGGGGGGTATAAATGCGGGGTTTCCGAAAATAGGGGACCCTAATATAGCACCCTGAATAGTAGGACCCTTATTACAAGGACCCAAATTTTAGGTACCCCCCCCTATTTCCGGAACCTCTCAAACAGCCGTGGGGTTAACACTGCATGGCCCAACTGAAGGATCCTGGACTGATGGTGCACGGGTTTAGGGGGTTTAGGGTGTTTAGGGGTTTAGGGGTTTAAGGGTTTAGGGTTCAATCATTTCTTAGGACACTCAGGGTCTAAATATTTCTGCGCTGCTGTAGAAAACACGGCCTACGAGCTTTAACATACTATCCTGGCACGGAAGTATATTCTGCACCCCTTCGGTGTTGTTGGTTATTGTATCTACCGGTCCACCGGAATCGAAATAGTATCCTTCTGCTTGTTGCTGCTTGATACAATGGTTTGCTTGCACCCTAGCTGAACTTTTCAATGGAGCATTGGAGCTGGAGAGTGGGCTGTCATCGCAGGTCCCACGGTAGCCCGTTCTGCAGAGCCTCTCCCAAACCGTAAACCCTAAACCCCCTGGCCTCTTGTTTGATCTCCTCAATTGAGCACTGGGCTTCTCTGGTGATCTTTGCCGTTCTGCCGCTGAGTAGACTGACTTCGATAGAGATCGAGGCCATGAGAAAGCAGAGGGTGGATTCTGGCGCTCTGAATGCAAGTTCCTACTCACGTCGACGAACCTACAATAAGCTGATACTCTTGGTTTGGGTTTCAGTCGTGATTCAATTGTACTTCCACCTGCTCCGTTCCGCGCGATTTTTGGCGTGCTTCGGGCCCTTAGTTGTTTGTGTCTAGTAAAACTCCTCAGAGAACTCTGAAAGCTTATGCAACCCTCATTATCGAAGAGAAACCTTTGTAACACCTTTGCAAACCACGGTTCCACTTCCACCCGAGCCGAAAAGCAATCGCGGTGCACGCAAGGATCCCGACTGGGAGCTTGCCGACAGCCGAAAGCACACTGGGCAAACCTTACACGCTTAAACCTTAAACCCTAAACCCCTAAACCTCTAAACCCTGAACCCCTAACCCCCTAAGCCCTAAACCCCTAAAGCCCCAAACTCTAAACCGGCAGGGCACAAAGGTTTTCCAGGATTGGAAACCTTGCTCCCAACAAATGCCTTGCCTACTGTAGGAGCCTTAATAAATGAATAAGGTTTTAGGGCTTCCTCAATAGAAGAATAATATACTATACCCCAAAACCCTATTCTAATCATGAAGCTCCCCCCCCTTTGTCAACAGCGTCTTTGCGCTTCCTTGGCCCGTCTGGATGCTGTACAATACGCCATATGCTATACGCGATATACTGCGATATGCTAAAGGCTACATGCTAGGTACTACATTAAATGCAATAGACTATATCGCTATGCTAAATGCTATGAGCGATATATGCGGTATGTGCGATGTGCTCTATGCTATAGCTTATACGCTATGCTACCATCCTGTGCTGAGCTACTGTGCTACAATGTTTTAGTTTGCTATCGTATGTTATACTGTGCCATAATGTGCTAAACTATGCTATGCTACGCTGTCTTTTCCTGTACCGTACCATACTCTTTCCTACTCTATTCTTCTCTACTAGACTATACCATACAACTAATCTCACTCGTACTCATGCTCTGACCCTTACTTCACTACTTGGGCTCTTCGGGACCTTCCATAGCACTGCGAAGCGTGACAAACCTAACCCCTAAACCCCCAAACCCTGAAGCCTAAAGCCCTAAAACCTGAGCAATAGGTAAACCTATGGCATCTCGACGAGGCCAACGGCTCGCAGCTCCTGCGCCTTTTCCGGGTGGCAGCGTCAAGAGAAGCCGCCGACCATGGACCAGCACCTAGGGTTAGGGTTTAGGGTTTAGGGTCCGGGGTGTCCCGTTTAGAGTTCTTTCACGGGTTCCTTAAGGTGTTGCGGAAGGTTCTGTAGGGGCTTCTTCGAGCTACTTAAGGTGTTCCCAAAGATCTTCCAGGTGTAGAGTCTAGGGGGGGTTGGGGCTGGGCTTTAAGGGTTTTGCTTTTTTGCCTCCCACCTAGCTAGGACGAGGCCCGCATTGCAGGGAAAGGGTTTGCCTAGGCTATTAGGGTTCTGGGTTTCGGGTGGAGGTAGCTTACGAAAATTACGATAAGGGTGCTTGAAAATGTGCAGTAAGATGTTCTGAGAGGGGTTATATACCCTAAACCCTAAACCCTATACCCAAAACCCTAAAATGAGCCCGTGATGCAAGTCACAAGCCTCTTGATCTGCCAGCCGCGGCACGTTGCTTATGTGACGGTGCAACGTCTGTGGCACCAAGGATAGCAAGCTTCATTTTACCCATAGGCTCCTAAGTAGTTCCTTTTTGGGATTACCTTAAAGATCTAAATATAGACCACAAAACGGAACTACTTAGGAGCCTATGGGTATGAATAGCCATAGGCCCCGCTTTCCCCCTAAACCCTAAACCCCTAGACCCTAAAACTCGTCGGTTTAGGGTGTAAGGGCTTCGGGTTTGCTCTTAATAAAGCCCAGGGGGCTTAGGGATTCACATATATGGTACCTGAGTAATTAGTTAGGGTTTAGGGTTTAGGGTTTAGAGTAATTAGAATCATGCTTGGGGGGATTTATAGACTGAGTCTAGAGAGCCTATACTGGGATATTGTGTTATTACTCAAAGCATCAGGGTTAAACCTCCAGATGTCGAGATCAACGTCACATCCGGAAACCACCCCCCTAGACACTTAATGAAACGTAAACCCCGAGCCCTAAACCCTAAACCCTAAACCCTGAACCCGCAAAAATAGAACCCGTAAAGCAGTCCTATGCGAGACATTCAGGCGGCAGCTTAAATCCTCAATGCTTCTGTTTTTAATCCTGGAATTCTTGCCAAGGAGCTATAATTTCAGTTACCGTACCATGACCCTAAAGTAAGTAACATGGTCTCCATATTAATTCTCAAGTTCCCTGAACCCCACACCCGGAAAACATTAAAGCCCAAAACCCAAAACCTCTTTAGACCCTACTAAACCGTAAAGCCCCAAGCCAAATTTACCTGTAACCCTAAACCTGGAACCCTTCCCTTGGAGCCTCCCCTAGATAACCCTAAACTCCAAACCCTAAACCCTAAACCCAGAATCCTGAAGACCGTCCGTTGCAGCCTCGAGGGTCTGCCCTGGTTGAACTCCCATCGGGACAGCGATGCTGAAAACGTCGTCCGATGGCCCTGCGGGTCGCACTTCAGGGCGACAGGTTAGAGCTCAGGGTCTAGGGCTTAGGGCCTATAGGACCTAAGAAAGTGTAGTAATTCAGCTACCAAGACTGTTTACTATAGACCCGTATTATGGTACCTTGAATACAACTCCTGAAAAAGGAACCCAGGTTTCCGGTTTCGGGTTCAAGGCTCAGGGCGAAGGTCTTCGATTCTCACGCTCGCACAAGCAGGGGCGGCTTCCGGCAATCCAGCACTCACAGAACCACAGGGCGAAGGTTTTAGGGCTTATGTCAATATTTCAAAAGGGCTTTACGGTTTGAGGGGGTTTTTGAAGGGTGCGGGGTTTTTCAAACTTATAAATTATAGGGACAAGATAGCTTCAAACGGCTTCTATACGGGCTTTGAGCCATTGTTCCATAAGGCATTCAAGATGGCCAAGAAACCTGGAAAAAACAAAAAAAACTATTAGCCCCAAACTCAAACTCCAAACCCTAAGCTTAAGACCTGACTTGCAGGGGACTATCCCCGGCCCGAAGCTGCAATATGGACCCAAGATCAGGGCAGCAAAACGACAATATTTCTCCTTGAAGCCCGAAGCCCTGGCACTGGTATGAAAGGTAGCGAAGCTCGAATGTAATGCCCCTGACTTGCTCTAAAACTCAAACGTTTCAGCACAACTTAGATAGAAGCTAAAAACCCCCAAACCATGCTAAATCCTAAACCTTCTGGAGCCTTTCTGCTCTTACCCTTATGGAAACAGGAGCCGTAAGCCCTAAATCCCAGTGTCAACCTCAATTTGTCAAGGAAAGGGAGGGATTATCCTAAAACCTAGTTGGACCGTCTATAAACCCTCAATGACAACCCCTTCAGCGAGCCCTTGTTCTAATTAGGGACCCGTATACTGACCCTTACTGCAAACCCCTAAATCCTAAATCTTCAACAGTATAGGCATACACCTGAAGCTTTAAGCCTTACACCGAAAACCCGTCTGGGGACACCTTAAAGGAACCCTTAAAAAGGACCCCCTAAAGGAACCCTTAAACGACCCCTTCAAAGGAATCCTTAAAGGAATCCTTAAAAAGGAACCCTTAAAAAGGACCCCTTAAAGGAACCCTTCCTTAAAGGAATCCTTAAAGGATCAAGGCCTTGCCCTTCGGCAGCCGGAAGCCCAGCACCGTCGACCACTGCCAGGCTCCCGGCCGAGGGGTCGTAGGCGACCTGGAGCCTTGGGTCGGATGCTTTCCTTTCCCACGTAGCAAAGAGGGTTTAGGAATTCGGGGTTTAGGGTTCAGGGGTTTAGGGGTTTAGGTTAGGGTTTAGGGTGATCTACATGGAATCCACATCTCTCTCGCTCTCTCTCCCTCTCTGTGTATGAAAAGTGTGTGTGTGTGTGTGTATGTATATGTATAAATAAATATATATCTGCATGTAGGTATATATATATATATACATGTACACATGTATGTATACACATGATGTATGTATATATATATACACACATACATGTGTTTACGTGTGTGTGTGTGTGTCGGTGTCTGGGCCTGGTATTTTTCCGAAAGTTGGGGTGCTTAGATTTGTTGAAGGCATTAGACTGTTGAGGATGGGACACTTGTTGAGTGTGGTGTGGTGATTTTGGAAAAGTGTTTTGTGGTCCTTAGGGGTACAAACAGAGTCTCGGATCAACACTTCCGTTTTTTGCCTCGAGTTGTTGTGCGGCGGCGGGGGCTGCAGGCTTTGGTGCTTAATCGGGGGCTTTGGGATTTACCAGTTTTGGGGTTCATGAAGCCTCTGGGCTCCAGAATTTTGGGCTTCAGGATTCCTGGCACAAATAAGTTTTCTGAGGTATTCTTTAAAACGTGGTTAGGGTTTAAGGGCTTTCGAAATGAGAAGTTGTGCCTGTGAGGATTTAGCTGAGTCGCTGTTGGCCGCAGTTCGGGGGGACGGTGACGGTCAATTCTCGACCATCCGGCACCTGCTCAGGGATGGTTAAGGAAGCCTTTGATCGGCTCAACAGTAGCATGGGACGTGTGGTTCCGGGGTTCTCTCATGCATATTCACAAGCCAGCTGATAATAGGCAGTAGGCACTTACCTACCGACTCTGGACGTCCCACGATGATACTTCTCATCGCTAATCCTAAGGCTCCAGTTACCCAATAGTAGTTTACCAGCCATCCATTTTATCTCCCACTAACCTACTGTTTTAAGTAACTGGAGCTCGAGGGATTTCCCGCAAAATTCAATGCCCCCCCAATTGTCGAATCTAGACTCTCGACTCGTCTCCCAAACCAGAAACCCCAACAGATCAGCAAAAAATACGCAACATCGCCGCAATCGGTCCGTGCAGCCTGAAACAAGACAGCCCCTTGCCAACCAACAAAAACTCATAAAACGCCTTATCAAGAACATGCTCCACAAAATCCCATAATGCCACAGAACC